TGCGCAATCAAGTTGAAGGATTGGGGGTTTAACTCGCTGGAATGTCCATTTTTTGCCCCCAAACTAGCTACGTGCACCAAAAGCTTACCTTAGCACTTGCTGGAACAAACACTTTTGGCGCCAAAAGTAGCTATGCATCTTAGCGTAGGCATATATACATAGGTTGTGCATGGTTACAAACTTACTTCCCACCTTTCACGTTCAAATTTCTCTCATTTCTCTCTCTCCCAAAAATTTATTTTCCCTCAGATTTTGCTTCCCAAATTAATTTTGTGTGGCTGTCCATTTATTAGGAACTAAAATTAAACTGCCACTAGATGATTAGCTTTAGATTAGAATTTTATTTTTTCAGTTATTTCCTTTTCCTTATTATTTATAGGGCTTTATTTCTATTTTACAAAAGCTAGAACTTGTTTACTTTCAGTTTTAGTATTTCATGAGTTGTAAGCATTTTGCAGTATTGTTGTAACACTTTAATTTAAATTTTCTAAATAAATAAATTTTTGCAACAAAAGGAAGTAAATAAAATTACATTTAATTAGTTCTCAATACGTAGTTCAATAAGGTATTTTAAAAACAAGAGAGAGCTACAAGTTTGTATCAATTAAGTGCTATAGGACCAAATTAAATACATCAAATTTTAAAAATTAATTTCCTAAGTCCTATAACAGTTTTATCCCTCCCGTTCACTGAGTTCGGTACTGATCATCTTGGTCACCTGAAAAATAAATGTAAGGGTGAGCACTCGACACTATCACACACAAGCACAGAGACTCATCTTGTACATTTCACACATTTACTAACATAACTCAATCGTGCATCAAATAGGCATAAAGCAATAATTTCAACATTTCATTCTCATTCATACATAGGTGCATTCACTGCACCATCAAATAATCCACACACACGTGCACTCACTGCATGTTAGCCACGCTCACTGTGGCACTGTGATCACAAATTCCTGATGCCCTCAACCTTAGGGACTTACTCAGTTCACACCATGGATGGTCATTGGATAGCCCCCGCTCCATGGATACAACGTGTGCAGTACTGAGTCCCCAAGCAAAGGTATTAGTAAAAGGTCGAGTCAGGAGGAGAGTTTATAACCTGTGGCACACCCACGTTCACTGTTGGTGTCACCACCACCCTCTCTTTTTCAAAGTATTTCTACTGTCTCCATCTTCCACACCCCCAGTGTATAGCTAAACTATACATAATGTTTTCAACATATTCAAACACAACCAACATGTCATTCACACATATTCACCCATTCATATTATCCATCATCCATCAATGACATGCAAACATATACAATCACCTACATTTTCAATCACATCATAGTTTCATCTTCACACATCACATGTACACACATAATCGGTCACATTACACTTAAACACACCACAATTCCATCACAATCCTATGTCAATCAAATTCATTTCTTCACACACATCACCCAATAACTACCCTATCATATTTCACATGAAATTTTCATTAAGGTACACACTTTCTTACATTCTATCTCAACCACATTTCATTATCTAGCTTTAACAATGAATTTCAAACTAAAAGAGATAGGGTAGAGTTTTCCTTACCTTAGAATGAAGACCCAATATGAAACAATAGCAGAAAACGTTCTCCACACAGTGCTCCGTCCCTAAAACATAGGAAATCTCCATGAGAATTTGAGAAAACAAAGAAAAGGACGAAGGAACAAAACCCTAGTCCATAAAACTTACCTCCAAGCGTCTCAAACGTGATTTTAACCTTTAATCTTACTCACAAACAGCTTTGGACGCAATCTAATCGGTGGAAAAGGGTTTGGGGTCGAGAGAATCGTGGGAGAAGGAAAGGAAAATGTGAAAAATACATTTCCTTGAACCCTAACCCTTCAAATACCCTTCTATTCACGATATTCTCGCTACAACGAGACATCTTTACCTCGCTGCAGTGACATCCCTTCTCGCTAGAGCAAAAGTATCAGAGGAAATTGCACTCTAATTTTTGCAGAATCTCACTACAGCAAGGCTGCAACCCAAAAATGCACCCTCTTCTGTCGCTTTCTTGCTACAGCGAGGAGCATTCTCACCTAACTCGCCCAGGGCCTTCTCACTACAGTGAAAATTCTCTTGCTAAAGCAAGCATGTCCCTGTAGCACACACTTAACCTATTCTCTCAATCACTCCCACTCAACTACTAGTCAAACATTCTCAATCAATTCACATATATTCATGCACACGTATTCGCATCATAACACAGTCAAATGTATATATCCATATCATCATATATCTCAAACACACAAACATATAACGATCCATATATACTTACATTAATAAATTAAAATATTATTGTTACAAAATATGGTGCGTTAATTGTTGTTTGGTAATTTTAGTTTATGCCTTATCTGCTATATTGAGCTTAATTCTTTGTTTGTTTGTGTAGACCATGCTTTTAATCTCACGAGGTGGAGCACATGGATTCTTATCTGTGAACAAATCTCATGGAAAGGGGGTTTCTTTCCTTGCCTTTAAATTCATATGATGAATTATATCATAATTTCCTGCTTAACTACATAAAGAAAAAGAAAAACATAAAAACATATTGGTTTATCCTTGTTTGTGTCTTAGGTTTTTTTTTTTTATGCATAAATATAGTTTCTTCTTTTTCCACTTCAACATTTCTTATTTTTGAATACATACATAAATTGTTTGTAAATATTCTTCATATACTTACATTATTTTCTTTCCTTATGACTTTCTTATTATTGGCACTGCACGTTTGTAAAGGCTCATTGCTCCTAGCCTTGAGTGCAGAAGTCCAACTCCGAATGTAAACTGTGGAGACAAACCTAGTTTCAAATTACCACAGAAGTCCATTTAAAAATATTCTTTTAAGATAATGCCATTTTTTAAGATACAACATTTTTTTTCCTAAGTTTCTAACCATATAAATATATATTATAAGTTTGGTTTGTCTTGATTTAGTTCAATTTTAACCATAAAAAATAAAAATTAAACTAAACTGTGTAAAAAAAATGATTTTTTTCAACTTTTGTTAAATCAGTTTTTATGTTTTTAATAAATTTAGTATTTTAAAAAAACTAGATGTATTTTTTTTAACATCTTCACTCATCTTAAAATTTAATGATAAAATAATCCACAAACTTAATTATTGTATCCACTTAAACATCATTGGTCAAATTCTAAGTTTAGGGTAATCTGTGCATTCTAAGTTGTAATACATGTTGACTAATTGAAAGTTTATAACCTTTTATCTATTAAGTTTACAAGTTCGCTCGTTTATAACTTAAATATCTTAATTTATAAATAAATTATATGTTTGAATTATTCAATATTTTTTATGAATTAAATTTAATTATTATTTTACTTTTTTATAAAAAAATATGTTAATTTATTATCTAAATGAGATGTATAAGTATAATAATTAATTTAAGTGATCCATTGATTTGAGTTTGAATATCTATAATTGATCAGATGAATTAAAGTGTATGTTTTAATACAAAAATTCACTATTGAAAAACTAAGGTTAACATTTTGTATGTTTAGTAAGGTTTCCTTTATAACTAGTGAATAATCATCTACTCACTGAGTGCAACTTGTTCTCAAAAATTGTAATGTAGGAGAATGAATTACTGATATCCAACATATTACTTGTAAAGCTTGAATATGATGATTTTTATTAAAAAAAATTACGTATTCAACAAGTTTTAAAGTTTATTATAATTATATTTTATGTTCTAATTTTATATAATCTTGTCTGAATAATTTAACTTACATTGTAAACTTGTATTATAAAAACTTATAAATTTTTAAATAAATGACAAACTTGTGATATAAAAATTACTGTTTAGAATTGTAAGAAATGGAGATTTCTCAATTTTGTAAATTTTTTATCAAATTTCTTACATAAAAGTTATTTATTTTACTTTTTCTATTGATATTTTGAACTAAAAGATATTAAAATAAATGATATTTGTAAATTTATTAATTAAAAATATTCAAGTGAACAGTTGAATTGAATATTTTTTCATAAATTATTATATAAGAGTTTATTATATAAATTTGATTACGAAGCTTATTGAAAAAAAAATAAAAACTTAGTTTAATAATAAGAAATTTATTAAAATAGGATTATTAAAACATGTAAAAATTATAAATTATTCATAAAAGCTTCTTATACCCTCAAAATGTCTCCTGAAAAATGAAAGATTAAAATAAATTTCATTTACAATTTGTAGGAAATACAGTTGATACATTTTTCTTATTTCTCAAAACTTAGATACTTTTATTAACGAAGAAAAATTATTATCAAATTTAATTATTTGGTTTTCAACTGTGTATCATGACGGTTAATGTAAAATTTTTACATGGTTAAATATAATCTTAAAATAAAATTAAATAAGAATGTAATCCTCTAAATATTGCTGTTTTTGAAATTAATTATCATAGAAATAAATTGTAATATTTTTTCTAATATTTTAAAGAAATAAAATATTAATATTATCTGTTTAATTAATAATTTATAGGTTTACTTCTTTTAAACAAAAATTATATTTTTATCGTCACGGTTAGCTTAACTTAAAATACCAAGAATATTAATTGGATTTTGTTCATTCATAAATATTATTTTTTCTCTCGAGAAGTCACGTTAGAGTATCACCGACCGCGTTTTTATTCGTAAATGCTACTTTAAATATTAACTTTTTCTTGGTCCTTACATTATTTAATGAGTTGGAATCACGTATTAGACAATTGTGTCAGAACTTCAATCATTGGGGCCCTTGACGATGGCTTCATTACGTGTGAATGCTTCTTCCTCGAAATCAAACAAATACAACGTATGAGTAATCAGTTGACTGACTCATCAACTGATTATATATGCGATTAGGGTTTTTTGCTTCCTCCGTTCCCAATCTCAAAATCTACACATTGCAGCTTTTGTTTCGATAGAGTCTCTCTCGATCATTTCAAGGATGGCTGAATCAATTCCATTTGCTGTTTCTTCAAATCTCATTCACAGGTTCCTTTCCGCACCCTTTCTTCAACCCGTAACTCGATTTAGCGTAGCTTTCTATTGCTCTTCCAAGGCTTCATGTGTTTGTTTCATGATATTATTTTGGAATTTCTACTTTTCTACTGAATTATATTTTAACTGAAATCAAAGCAAATCATAATTATATTATTCTTTTAGCCAAAATATCACTTTCAAATTATTAAATTTATTAAAAAAAAGAAAAGCAATCGACTTGATACGTAAAACAACAATATATCATATCTAAAATTTTAGAATAATTTTTTTGTCTCCCATAAAATCAGGTCTTCAATTCAAAAATCTAATACCTAAAATTCTAATAATTAATTATATGTTCTCTTTTATCTATCAATATATTATTTAATTTTTTTTATTAGAATAGATAATGTCATGTAAAAATACCACAATCATTTTCTTCATAGGAAATTACAAGATGGATATACTATGCGACTCTCACTCTCTACTTTGTGATGCATTTTAATTTTTAAGGAAAGAAAATTATATAATTTTAAAATAGGAGAGAGAGAGAGAAATGTAATATATGCATCTTTTAAGCTAGAAAATTTTAATTTAATATTCTATTTATTACCAAGAAGAATTTTCTTTTTATTGTTTCTTCGTCAATCATGATTCTTATATTTTAATAAATATAAATATAGGGCTGAATCAAATTTCATTATTAATTTTTAAAAATATTGATTATATTTATTAATTAATACCACAATTCAATCATGATAGTAAAAAAAAAAAAACTAATGTATAATGTTTGTAAAAAAAAAAGTTAAATATAAAAAGATGAATTAAGTTGTTATTCCACACAGATTCTTTTTATTTTTAATTAAGTCATTCTAGTTAAATTGTTTTTAATTAATTATTATAACTTTATTTTTTTAATTAAAGTCTTAACGATTAATATCATTATATCTGTATTAAATATCAATGAGATGACATTTTTAATTTACTAACCTATTATTTTATTTTAAATTTTCTTTTTTATGATTAATTTATATAGTTAAATTTCTCTAAATTCTCAAATCCTATTATTGCTAGGTGATAAAATATAATTACCAAGTTTAACACTCTACATAATTGATTGTCTAAATGAAATACTATGGATTTGTTGAATAAAATATTATGCAAAGAGAGTTTTACAGTGAGACTAAATATTATTGGTAAAATACTGAAAATTACTCTAGAAAAATTAAATAATATCAGGTATATGAAATAACAGCGTTAGATAATATTTTAAATGCATTATATTAATATCCATTAATAAAATTTTCTATATTTTTTATCAGTGTGAATTTTAAGAATATCTTTAAATTTTTTTTCAAATGACAGTACATCTTCTTTTTTTATTGCTCCAAGTGATTTTTATTATGTAAATTATTTATTTTTAATTTATTAAATTAAATTTTGAAATTTTATTTTTTTATTTACCTAATGTAATAAACATTTATTATTAATAATTAAATTTAATTTTTTTTAATTTATAAATTTGTTAAAATTGTAAAACTGTTGTGTAATTATTTAGTAAAACATATTTTAATTTAATAATACGGTACAATTTATAAAAAAATCAGTGGTAATACTATGGTGTGTCGGCAAGTATTAAAATCAATAATATAAAAAATTGAATGCGATACTTGTTAGTGGCTGAGTTAATATAACATTTAAATTCAGCACTGTGTATTTAGTTGAATCACTCAATTTAGGTACTAACAAACTAAATAGGCTTAGAATGATACTCATAAAGCGTGTTAACAATTTAAAATTAGTAAATATACTTTCATTGTTTGAAATGATTGATTCCTTTAGTTTTTATATTAATTAAATTTAAATATAGTTAAGTGAGGTCACATCACTGTTATTACTAATAATAACACTTTTTAAAATTAATTCTTACCATTGATTCTTGGGGTTAAGTGATCTTTTTCTCGTATGATTTGAACACATCATAAAGGAAATGTTTGCCACTACTAGATCAAACTGCATAAACTTGCTTTTGAATGTGCCACTACTGTTAGACAAATAATTACAAAGTATAAGAGAATAATTAAATTGTAACACCTTAATTTTATTTTCAAATAAATAAATTTTGTAAAAATAAAAATAATAAACAATTCTCAATACATAGTTTATTAAAGTATTTTAAAATAGGATAAATTATAAATTTGAATCAATCATTACTACAAGACTTAATTAATACATTTTAGTTCCAAAAATAAATATTCTAAGTTCTATAGCAGTATTATCCATCCTTTCACTGAGCCTGGCGCTAATCGTCTTGATCATCTGAAAAATAAACGTAAGGATGAGTACTCTACACTATCAGTAAGCACAGACTTTTTCAACATATTCAAACATCATCACAATTACATCCAACATGTCATTCATGCACATTTCCAACCATTCAAATTATTTTGCATCAAGTGATGATATGCTAACACATAATTTCACCGACAATCTCAATCTCATCACAATATTCACAACATAACACGTATGCCCACATTCAATCATGTTATAACCACACAACATTTCCAACACGATTCCAATTACAATCAAACCATTTTCAACACACGCACTATTCAACATCAACGATATTGTAGCCAATCACACAATTTTCATCACATTTCCTCACTAGTCATGTTCAACACGAAATGTACATCAAAACCCATATATTCTTACATTTTATCCTAATCATATTGCAATACATAGTCAAATAAACGGATTCAAAGCACAATGAAATAGGGTAGAGTCTCCCCTTATCTCAAAATGAAGACCCAACACGAGATAATAGCAAAAAATGTTCCCTACACAGTGCTTCATCCCTAAAACATGAAAAAACTCCATGAGAACTCAAGAAAACAATGAAAGAGACAAAAAACCAAAACTCTAGCTCACAAAACTTATCTCCAAACGTTCCAAACATGATTTCAATCTTCAATCTAGCTCCCAAACGACTTTAGAGACAATTTAATTGGTGAAATAAAGTTTTGAGTTGAGAGAATTGAAAGGATTTCGAATGGAAAATGAATTTCTCAAACCTTAAACCCCTTAAATATCCTTCTAATCGCAACACTCTCGTTACAGCAAAAATCTCAAAGGAAACTGCACTTTGATTTCTACAGAATCTCGCTACAGCGAGACTGCACCAAAAAATGCACCCCCTCTGTTTCCTTCTCGCTATAGCGAGAATGCAACAAATTCACGCTCTTTACCCAAGACCTTTTCGTTACAGTGAGAATGCCACAGATTCGTGCTCTTCGCTTAGGGCATTCTCGCTACAGTGAGAATACCCCTACAACAGACACTTACCCTATTATCAATCCAATTCCACTTATACTCAAACATTTTTCAATTCAATCACAAACCAACGTATACGCTTATACTCATATTCACATATTCATACAAGTCCACGTTATCACACATATATTCACATCATCATATACATATATCAAATACACATTTAAATAGAAACCCACACTTTATATTAATATATAAAATATCATTACAAAATTCAGGGCATTACATAAATCTTAATAATTAGGGGATATTTAACACTCTCACATAATTTAGTGAATTTTAATTTAAGATCATCAAGAATGATCTTCATCCATAAAAGTTCACATACTTTAGTTTCAACACTTAATTTGGCCATAATATTTTGTTTCTTGCTCCTCTATGCTACTAGATTTTCTCTTAGAAACATACAATATCTTGAAGTGAATTTTCTATCTACAATGAAACTTGCATAGTCAGTATTTGTATATACCTCTAAGGCAAGAAACTCTCCCCTTTAAAGAGAATGTCTCGTTCAAGACTTCCTTTTAGATACTAGAGAATCTTTTTTACTGCTTGTCAATGTCTTTCTTGTTGGTCATGCATGAGTTGGCTAGTAATGCTAACAATATATGCAGTGTCAGGTCTAGTATAAGATAAGTAGATTAACTTTTCCACTAGTCTTTGGTATTGAGCTTTATCTACAATAGGACATTTTTCTTCTCCTGCTATTCAACATTTTTTTTCCATAGGTATTACAATAGCTTTAAATATCAAATTTTTGATCTCCTTAAAAAGATTTAGAACATATTTTCTCCAAGAGATAAAAATTTTCTATTTCAAGTAAGCCACCTTAATTCCCAAGAAGTACTTTAGTCTTCTTAGATCATTCATCACAAATCGAGCAGCTAGTTTCGTCTTCGAGTTCTGTTTTATGTAATGCCCTTACTCTTTTAAATATTTTTCCTTTGTTATATATATAAATTTTGATAAGACTTAATTAAAATAGATAAAAGATGGATAATTTGGAAAAGTTTACATTTATATAAATTTGAAACTAATAGAACTTAACAAAATTTTAAAACTTCATACATATGTCTTATTCATATTAGAGATGAAATTTTGATTTTCACAATATAAATTTTCTTTTTATCAAAGTAAGGATTGAAATTACATTTTAAATAATTAATGACTTTATAATATATATATATATATATATATATATATATATATATATAGGTTTTTCATAGCAAAAAGATGAGAGACAACATATCTAATATCAAGTTCTCCTTGATATTCAAAGGAAAGGTACAACATATTTTATGGAAGATATTGTCCAAAGAACCAACATTCTTCTTGAGCATGAAAAAGTTGAACAACTTTTGAGTAGAAGGAAAATAACAAAATAAAGTGAAATTGAGAGATGAAGCTTTAATAACATACTTGGAATCAAGTAGAACAAACATTTAAGTTTAGATTTGAAAGAGTTTCGAAGTTTAAAAGAGATTTTCTCTAAGAAAGGAAGTGAGAAAAAATAGAATGATAAGAGAAGGAGTTACTAGCTAGGTGTTCTAAGTTTTAAAACATTAAAGCTATTTATATACTATTTTCACTCTCGACTTCTCGCTTGAGCGAGCAGATTCTCACTTGAGTGAAACTCATTCTCACATAGGCAAGAACATCAGACATAAATTTACACATGTCCTCTGATAATCTGGCTTAAGTGAGATGCCTTCACACTTAGGTGAGATCTAGTCCAGACAGCTATTCATTTTCTTGTGCCTTCTCACCTGGGTGAGAGGACAGCTGAGGTAATCTTATCTATTCTTGTCTGAGTAAGACTCATCTTGCTTGAAAGAGAATGTGTTGAAACATATAGTCCAGAAAACTTAGTCTCACTTTGAGTAAGATTCCCTACAGTTCCAAAAATTTAACTTTTTCTATTTTTTTAAAAAGTGCAATAATAATTAAAATAAATATGCTATAATAAAAATGAAGGTGTTACATTTTACAATCTCATCATTACCTACAATGATGATATCATTGATATAAACTAATATAAATGTTAGTTTGTCATCTTGTCAGTGTTTTATTAAAAGAGTACGATCTTCTTAGCTTTGCTTATATTCTAAGAACATCATAGCTCAAGTAAGTCTTTGAAACCAAGCATGAGGGGATTGCTTAAGTCTATATAGAGCTTTTTTCATTCTACCATTTTGTTTCCATCATCAATAGTCCTAAATCCTAAGAGAACATCTGTATATACTTCCTTTGAGTCTTCATATAAGAATGCATGCATTTTTATATCAAACATATGTAAGATCCAAGCAAAGTATGCTTGCTGTTAATTAAAAGGATATTTCTCATAGTATTCATTTTTGTCATTGGTGCAAATGTTTCATCCATCAGTCTGAGTGTATCTTTTAGCAAGTAATTTAGCCTTGTACCAATAAGGGTACCATTTCATCAATATTTAATTGCGTAGGGTCATTCTACAATCTCTTAAGTGGTATTTGTTTCCAATGCACTTATCTCTTTATCCATTACTTGAGCCCAATTCTCATCTTTCAAGACTTCTTATAATGACTTAGGGATATTTGAAGAATCAATAGCAGAGATAAAACTTTGATGTTGTATAGATAGATGTTTAGTGTATATAAACTAAAAAATATGATTCTTGACATAGGAAGGTTTTTCTTTTTGCAAAGCAATGGACAAATCATCTACATTAGAATCACAATTGTTTAAAAGAATATTTAATAAATCAAGATTAATAGTACTAAAACTTACCTCTAATTTGATTGATTGAAGTTGTTGTTGGATCAAATCAAGTTTTCTTCTCCTCATGATAAGTGTACTTGATTTTGTTTGCAATGAATCACTTTCTTTTTTGCTTGAGTTAGAGAAAGAAGGAGTAAATTCTTAAAGATGATATAGGTTAAGAGGATGAAAAGACAAATACTCATATGGACCACTAAACTCAACCTTATGATGACTCTTCCCCAAAAGTTGAATAAGTGACTAAAATGACTTCGTCTTATTAAAGGTGATATCTATAGAAATGTAGATTGAACAACTCGAACGATGATAATATGTACGACCTTTTTTATTTGAAATATGCTATGAAAATACACTTAACAACACAAAGATTTAAATTGCCACGATGTTGACTTTTAACCTAAAATAAAAGCAGTATACCTAAAGATATGAACCTCAAGGTTGTTTAAGACATGGACAAAAGAGTGAAAGGTAGACGTAGACTAAACAAGACTAAAGTCATTAATTTAAATGTGATTATTAAAATTCCTCTCCTCAATATGATTTTGGCATTGTCATATGAAATAACATAGTATTGATAACTTCTAAGAGATTAATTTTTTTCTACAACTCCATTTTGTTGATGAGTATCTACACGTCAAGTCTTGAAAAACACTTTTTTTTTATATAGAAATTAAAATAAATTTTATTTCACACATGCTCCTCCATTATCTACCCATTTGAATGAAGTGATGAAAATTAAAAAATAGTTGAGTCACTTCTATTTTATCCTTTATAAAAAGGATCCATGTCATAAGTGTATAATCATCAATAAATGATACAAAGCATTAAGCACCATAAAAACTTAGAAATAGGAGCATGTCATGTCCCATCAAAATGGATAGATTGAAAGGTGCATTACTTTTTTTTAGAACTATTTAAAAAAGTACCACAATGATGTTTAACAAAATGACAAATATCACATTTAAAAAACTCAACTGATTGTTTCAAAAATAAAGAAGGAAACATACTTTTATGCAATCTAAAAGGTAGATGACCTAAACACTTACATTGAATAAATATTTAAGAATAGTCATAGCCAAAATAAGACTAGTTACAAAAGTTGAGACTTCCTCTTCCAAAATTGTTTTGGACTTTAGTTTTCATTGACGGAAAGTAATATAACCATCTCTATTCCTAAGCAACTCCAATTGTCCTCCCTAAGGTAAGATCCTGAAAAACATAATGAGATGAAAAAAAATGTTACAGAATAATTTAGATCACATGTAAGTTTGTGAATGAAGATAAGATTAGTGGAGAGTTAAGAAACATGAAGAACATTTTTAGTGAAAGAGGTAGTGGGTTGACTATTACCATAACTAAGAACAAGAGTTTGTAAATCATTAGCAATTATAATGTAATATGTACTAGATAAAGTGAAATAAGAAGTAAAATAAGAAATATTAGGAGTCATGTGATTGGAAGTATTGAGTCAATTATCCAAATATCTCCAAAAACAAAACATAAGGTATTAAAAGAAGAAAAATCAAGTCTTACCGATCATGGCAAGAAAGACACATGAGTCATCTACGGTGAGAGACACTTATGTTTTAATAGAGAACTTATAATAAAACAATCACCCAAACCAAAAGGTTGATTTATGGTTTTATGGTGTCGCAGAGCATGGAGGCTTTGTTGGAGACAAAATATTTTGGGTTTGGCCGATCTTGATCATTGATAGACGATTGCCAAGTCGCTATCAAAACAACTAAGTTTTCTAAAGATTTTATAGTATAGGTCAAACCTAGGACAATTCACAAAGACACATTCTCAGTCAAATTCAATTTTAGGTTTTCTTTTAAAAATGCAAATAAGGTTTTTACGGTTTTGAAAATTGCAATTAATCAAATTAAATTGCGAAAAAATTAAATTGAGTAAAAAATAAATTAAGAAATATCAATCCACAGAATATCAATTGCGTGTAACTCTGACTATCACAGTATCTAAAGTTTTAAATTCACGTTTGAGCAATCACCCAATTCAACTATTAATTCAATCGAATAACCTAATTGAATAGAGTTACAAATTAAATCAAATAATCATTTAACCTAATTCACATTAATTATCAAATTAGAGCATCAATCGAGTCCTAATTTGAAATCTAACAACATAAAAGTCAATCATGATTGCAATAAACAATTCTGAGATTACAGAGAAAAAGAAAACAAACTCAGAGCAATTAGCGCAGAACTCATGTTAGAATTACAGCATTTGGATTTCACGGATTGAATGAGAGGTTTAGTCTTCTATCGAAACGCTTAACCTACATAAGAATGAGAGAGTTCAAGAGAAAGTAAAAACAAGGATTCTTATTTCGGCCAAGTCTCAAAAGCTCAAAGTGTCTAATCACCTTCCCTAATTCAGAACCTTATCAGTCTATTTATAGGTTCTGATTAGGGTAAATTAAGTGGCCAAAATGCAGGCCTTAATAATATCTAAAAGTCCAAATACAATTATTAAATAACAAGGGTCCAAATGTAATCCCACAACAATATTCAGCAAATCTGCCTCAAATTCAAAAAATCATAAAAAATAAAAAATAACTCTAAATCAAGCGATCTATATATGTATTTTGAAATCTTGGATGTGTAGAATCCAATGCAAGTAGAATCATTCAAAAAAGATATCTATAGAAAAAGTTATAGCCAAAAGAGTTTCTGATCATCCCTCCTTGGGGAACAGTTTGTTGCGCAATAATTAGCTATCTCATGAAAGTAGTAAGCTCCTTATTTCTGCTCTCAAGTCAACTAGAATTTGCTGCCATATGATTTGGTTGCTTCACATTATGCACCTTTCTCATTGGTACCATGGCTCTTGTATTAAACTGTTGAGAGTTCTCTACCATGTTGTCAATTAGTGCTCTGACTGCAGATAGTGTCTTGTCCATGAGAGCTCCACCGTTTGCTGCATCAAGCATACTTCTCTCCATTGGAGCAAGGCCTTCATAGAAGTACTAAATAAGCAGTTGGTCACTGATCTGATGGTGTGAACAGGTTGCGCGTAGCTTCTTGAATCTCTTCCAGTACTTATAGAGGCTTTCTTGGCTGAACTGTTTGATGCCACTGATCTCTTTTCTTATTGTGGCTGTTCTAGAAGCAAGGAAGACCTTCTCCAAGAACATCCTCTTCATGTCTATCCAGCAAGTGACAGACCCTAGCTGCAGGTAATATAGCCAGTCTTTCACTGCACCATCTAAGGAGAATGGAAAGGCCTTCAGCTTGATGTGGTCTTCGGGAAATGCTTGAGGCCTCATTGTTGAGCAGACTATGTGAAGCTCCTTTAGATGCTTATGAGGGTCCTCACCTGCACTACCATTAAACTTAGGCAACAAATGGATTAGACTAGATTTTAACTCAAATGAAGCATCTATATCAGGATATTGGATGCTTAAGGGTTGGTATGTAACATCTGATGTAGTTAATTCTTTAAGATTCCTTTTGTGTTGATTATTAGCCATAATATCAGAATGCACAGATATTCTATCAGAATGCACAGATATTCTATCAAAATGATCACAATTAGAATGCTCACAATTAGAGTGCACACTAACACTATCAAGAGTATCACTACATTGACTATGCACACTACCTTCCAATTTAAGTCTATTCAACCTGTTCCAAGTGTGTTCAATCTCAGGATCAAATGCGATTAATTGACCAAAATTGGTTTTAATCATGCACCAAGAAGTAGATCGATCGAAGTCAACAAGATCAACAAGTCAAAGTCAACCTAATTGCGTTATTTTCCATTTTTAAGATTTTTTTAAAAAAATTATATATATATATATATATATATATATTTGTGATATTTTTCTGTCCTAAAAAAATAAAATAAAAATTTAAATAAAAAATATCAAAAATAAAATAAATTTAGAAAAGTGTTTTAAACGATGAAATTTGTGATTTTGAGCAGCACTGCGCCTAAAATGAATAATATAATATCAATAATTTTTGCAACTTACAAAATAATAAATAAATAAATAAATGTAGCGAGATAATAAAAGAATATGCCCCACAGTGTTCTATCACGGTTCCTAGAATTCTACCCTAGTGATTTATGATATGCATTCTTACCTTGGGTAGTTTGTAAGCCTTAAGATAAAAGGTCACTAGAGCTAAAATCCATTCTATAAAGTCATCCTCAATCAGTAGGTAGTCTACTAGATGTAGGGACTTATATAGATAAGATAAATTCTAACTAAAGTTCTCGTGATAGACAAACAAGACATTCATCTAAATTGCTATCACTACACAACTCCTCTAAACCTAAAATTTACTCAGACCCAAGTATAGGGTCTCGCTCATGTTATGCATGATTAGTGGTGTATGAGGGAACAAACAAACCTTATACAAATCAAATAATAAAAATATGCAAGAAAAAAACAAAAATCAACTAAATAAATTATAATAGAAAATGAAATAAAAAATAGAAATTAAAATTATTTTAGTTTATTTTTTATTTTTTTTGAAAACTATTAATGAAATTTTATTTTCAAAATTTTTTAAAATAATTAAAAAATTCAAAATTTAAATTTAAAAATTGGTTAAATAAAGTTTGCTTTTTTTTTTTCAAAATTTAAATATAAAACTAATCTATCTTAAAAAAAACTAATCCTATCTTTAAACCTAAAACAAACTAAATCAAATCTAATCAAATCTTAACTATAATTTAAAATTCAAATTTAAAAATAATTTAAAATTTAAATTTAATTTTTTTAAAAAAAATTGAATCTAAACTAAATATGAGGGATGCTTATCCGCTGTTCCTTATTTCTGTAAGATCTATGCAAAATCTTTGCAAATCACACAATTTTGCAACAATACGCTATTAATCTAATATTTAAAAAAATATAAAATCTGAATCTAAAATTCAAAATTCACTAAAACAACACAATTTAACGAAAATTGAAATTAAACACATTCTATAAAACGAAGACAACAGAGAAAGAAACGAAACAAAGACAAAAACAAAATTACGAATTAGAAAGTGAAAACGCAATACTAAACCCTAAAACGAATCAAAACTGACAATGCATCCCCGGTAATTGCCAAGTTGATAGACGATTGTCGAGTCGCTATCAAAACAACTAAGTTTTCTAAAGATTTTGTAGTATAGAGTCAAACCTAGGTCGATTCAAGAAGACACATTCTCAGTCAAATTTAATTTTAGGTTTACTTTTAAAAATTGAAAATAAGGTTTTTGGGGTTTTGAAAATTGCAATTAATCAAATTAAATTATGAACAAAATTAAAGTGAGTAAAAAATAAATTAAGAAATATCAATCCACAGAATACTAATTGCGTATAACTCCGACTATCATAGTATCTAAAGATTTAAATCCATGTTTGAGCAATTACCCAATTCACTTATTAATTCAATCGAATAACCTAATTGAATAGAGTTACGAATTAAATAAAATATCCATTTAACCTAATTTGCATTAATTATCAAATTAGAGCATCAATCGAGTCCTAATTTAAAATCTAACAACAGAAAAGTCAATTACGATCGCAATAAACAATTATGAGATTAGAAAGAAAAAGAGAACAAACTTAGAGCAATTAGCACAGAAATCAAGTGAAAATTATAGCATTAGATTCCACGGATTGAACGAGAAGTTTTGCCTTCCATTGAAATGCTTAACCCACGCAAGAATGAGAAAAGAACGAGAGAGTTCAAGCGAAAATAAAAATAAAGATTCTTATTTCGGCCAAGTTTCAAAAGTTCAAAGTGTATAATCACCTCCCTTAATTCATAACCTTATTAGTCTATTTATAGGTTCTGGTTAGGGTAAATTAAGTGGCCAAAATGCGGGTCTCAATAATATCTAAAAACCCAAATACAATTATTAAATAACAAGGGTCCAAATGTAGTTGTGCAACAATATTCAGCAAATCTGCCTCAACTTTAAAAAATCATAAAAAATAGAAAACAACTCCAAATCTATCAATCCATATATGCATTTTGAAGCGCTGGATGTGTAGAATCCAATGCAACTAGAATCAGTCAAAAATGATATCTATAGAAAATTTATGCCAAAAGAGTAGTCAGAGGTTAGAATAACTAAATATATGAAATTAAAGCATTTATTTGTAATAGGCCCAATTTATTCAAATAAGTAGAAAATGGTAAAAAATATAAAAATAAAGCATATGAAAAGTGTTTATTAATCAAAATAAAATATTAAATGTAAACATAAAATATGTTACATCAATCATGCTCTTGGGATAGTGTGGTTTTCAAAGTTGATTAATGGTCCAGCCATAATAATAGTGATGATGGTAGTGGCGGTAACTAAGACAAAGAGGGAAAAAAAACTAATAAGCATGTGCAAACATATGTTGTAATTAGGGGTGAGAATGGGACAGGCTAGGTCAGGCCTAAGATTAGCATATAACCTGTGACATAGGCTAAATTTTTAGGCTTGGATTGGCCTTTTTGAAAGTCTGGCTTATCCAATAGCCTATTAGTAGCCTATTTGACATTAAGGCCTTCAAATAACAATAACAATTTAAATTTAATGAGTCAATGGGCTAATGGACTAGTAGCCAACACGCTAGCTGGCCAAAAGACCTAATACTAATAAAATGGAAAACATATGATAAATAATTATATTTAAATATTATGCTTAGCCAAAAAATATACATAAATGGCTTCACAGATATTATATCTCAACAACTACACAAAATTTCATATCTTAAATAATTCAAAAGATACCAAAAGGTAATATGCACTACGCCAGAAATAAGATTTTGGAGCATTAACCTAGATAGTGGTTAGTCAAAATCGCTCTATAACAATACATTTAGAGAGTGGTTAGCGTTGAACTGCTCCCAAATCTATACTTCTGAGAGTGGTTCTTTGTTAACCGCTTTCTAAAGTTATACTTTAAAGAGCGGTTAGTGTTGAACCGTTTTCTCATATTTATACTTCTAAGAACAATTTTCTATTAACTACTCTCTAAAGTCACTCTTAGAGATCGGTTAACAGATAACCACTCTATAAAGTCTTTAATTTTTATAAATAAAGCTCGCTCAACTCATTAATCTATTGGCTCTTCGTCTTGTAAGTTGATCTCTTTTACTTTTGTAAGTTCTTTTCATCTTTTTTACATATGTAGGTTCTCTTCGTCTTGTATGCTCTCTTCATCTCTCCTGCGCTAATAAATTATTCTTTTTTCACATCTATAGATTCGTCTCTTGTATGTATATAGATTCTCTTAGTCTTCTACGCTTTCTTCATCTCCTCTGTGCCAATAAATTGTTCTTTTTTCACCTTTACAGGTACCTTTTTCATAGTTCTTTCCATTCTTTCTTTATTTTTTTTCTCTTTATTAACGGTGAATCATCCTAATAATTTATTCTCTTTTTCTCTGTGTACTTGTGTTTGGTTCATGCAGATGTAGACTGTTTGGTTAACACACTATATAAACTCAAGATTCAATTTTAGTTTATAATAAAAATGAAGAAATTTTGAATGTCAGACCTATAAATTAAAATTTAAACGTAATAATAAATTAAATTTAGTTTGTAACATATCTAGAAAACTCACAAAGAAATAAATTTTAAATTTTAAATTCGCGATTTACACCCATACTTTAGAGAGCAATTCAGCATTTGACTGCTCTCCAATCTTAACATCCATACTTTGGAGAATGATTCCGTATGGAACCACTCTCTAATCTTAACATTTGAGAGTGGTTTAAACAACTGCTCTCTTAAATCTAACACATTGTATAACGTGAGATTTTAGAGCAGTCATAAACACTATTTAATTTAAAACATAACTGCTCTTACAACTCCTTTTTGGCATAGTGATGTATATATTATGTAATCTCAAATTCCAAGCTAACAATTAAGATGTTTATTATGAAAAGAAAACTAAAAGTGAGACTAGAACCTAAAACCCAACAAACAATTGTTAATTGTTAAGAAGTTGAAAAGTATTTGAATTGAAAAGACTAGATAGGAATTAAGAAAGAATGAATTTTAATAATGAATTGAGATATTTTAGAAACCAGAAAAAATTTTAATTGATAGTTTTTTCAATAAATTTTGATTTTGGTATTCCAATAGTATAATTATAATTATTATATTATTATAGTATAAATACTAAACTATGTTATACATTACATATTATATATATATATATATAAATTTTTTAGATAATTATATTTATATTAAATTATTATAAATAAATAAATATAAATTATAAAATAATATAATTATTTAATTGGACCGACTCAACAAGTTTAAAAGGTTTTTTAAATGTTTAAGTTTGGCTTCTTTATTTAAATAGGTATTTTCAAAAGCTTAAATTTGGCCTTTTTAATATATTAGCCGAGACAAACTAGACTCAAATAAGCTAAGCCATAGGCTCTTGACTCATGACTTGATCCATTTTTATCCCTAACTGTAATAAAGACAACTACTAGAGTTTGGGTGACTGGCAAATAAGTTTTGGGTGTGCAAAAGCAAGAGTGCAAGACTCCCTAGATCAAAAGTTTTTGATACAAACTTAAAATTCTAAATTGTATTTTGTTATTATACATTATAATTTGACATGTATATATACGAGTTTAATATTAATATTTACATAAAACAATATTTTAGATTATCTTCTAATAATTATAAAGATAATAATAATAATAAATAATCATAATATTTATATTCTAGATTATCTTCTAATAATGATAGAGATAATGACAATAGCTAATAATTAAGAGATATTTTCAATGTATACACATGTTTTTATTTAATATTTTTTTAATTAACCATAGTATTTATATTTTGTATTGATTACTTTATATTTTTCAAATATAATTTTTATATTTAAATATTAAAAATATCATATGATATTACACAATTAAAAATAAAAACTCAATGCAATTGTAAAAATACAAAAACAATAATAAATTATATTAACCAAACAAAGTAATAGATATTAGAATTTTGATAAATTGTAGAAATAATAGTGTTTACATATATTTAAAAATATAAAAATTAAAAATAAATTAAATAAAAATTATTTTTTAAGAGGTATAACATATTAGATAAAGTATATAAAACTATATTATGTTGATATTTTCTGAAATAATATTTAATCATTAATTTTACATTTAATTATAATTAATTAATTTTAAATTAATTATTGAGTTTATATTTAATTCATTAAAATAAAAATTATAATTAATTTTATATCATGTCAAGAAAATTTATTCTTTAATTAAATTTCATTTTGTTTATTCTTGTATAATGTTCCATCATGTATGATATACAAAATAATGAATTATCTTTTTGTATGATCCGTTTAAAAATTTAAAAATAAGAAAATAATAATGTAGACATTTATTCTTGACATCTCATTACAGGTTGGCTTCCGCAGATTTTCTTGAATTTGGACAGGAGTATGATGTGAAAAAAGAGTTGGATGAGCTTAAGAAGACAATTGAATCTATCAATGATGTCCTCCTTGATGCTGACCATAGACAAGAACAAGTTCGTGTGCGTAATTGGATATCTGACTTCAAAGAAGTACTCCATGCTACAGATGACTTCTTAGATGACCTTGCTATCGAATTTAGGAGAGACAAATTGGGTGCAGCCGAAGGAAAAGAAATAAACAGGGTACTTCGTTCCATTTCATCTTCAAATCAACTTCCTTTATACAATGAAATGCCTGGCAAAATTAAGGAAATACGAGAAAGTTTTAACGGTGTGGTAAAAGAAATGAAGGATTTGAATTTATACCCAAGATCTGTTGTGGTCAAGCAAACTGATAGTGGATGGAGGGAAACATGTTCTTTTGTGTTAGAGACAGATATCATTGGAAGAGATGATAATAAAATGGAGATTATTAATCTGTTGAGACAACCTCATGAAAACCATAAAGTTTCTGTGATTGCCATTGTTGGCATTGGTGGCTTGGGGAAGACAGCTCTTGCTCAATTAGTGTATAATCAACAGGAATTGCAGGAATTTTTTGAAATGCAAATGTGGGTGGGTGTCTCTGATGTATTTGATGTGAAAACTATTCTGAAGAAAATATTAGAATCAATTACTGGTGACCAAGTTGAAGACAAGTTATCATTAGGCAACTTGCAAAGAAAACTTCATGAAAAAATAGGTGGTAAGAAATATTTGTTGGTCCTGGATGACATTTGGAATGAGAGACATGACAAATGGGCTGAATTGAGAAAGTATTTGATGTGTGGTGCCCAAGGTAGTAAGATTTTAGCGACAACTCGAAGTGAAAATGTAGCAAAGTCAATGACTACTAGCACTTCCTATCGTTTGAAAGGTTTGACGGATGAAGCATCGTGGAGTTTGTTAAAGAATATTGCATTTGAGGATGATTCCGAAGGAGTGAATCAAAATCTAGAATCAATGGGGAAAGAAATAGCCAAAAAATGCAAAGGGGTTCCACTAGCAGTTAAAACGCTGGGAGGCCTGTTACGGGGACAAAAGGAAGAAAGGGAATGGGAGAATGTTTCACGTGGTGACTTCTGGAAATTATGCGAAGAGCAGGATAGTATTATGCCAATTCTAAAACTCAGTTACCGCAACTTGTCGCCAGAAATGAGACAATGTTTTGCTTATTGCTCTTTATATCCCAAGGATTCAGAAATTCCGAAGGATGAGTTGATTCAGTTATGGATGGCACAGGGTTACCTTAAATGTTCAACCGAAAAACAGCACATGGAGGATGTTGGTATTCAATTTGTAAAGATGTTTTTGATGAACTCATTTTTTCAGGATGCAGAGAGTGATGAATACGGTGAGATCATTAGTTTCAAAATGCACGATTTAATGCATGATCTTGCAATGCTGGTAGCTGGCAATGATTATTGTTACTTGGATAGTAAGGCAGAAAAAGTTGAAGGTAGATCCATGCACGTGTCATTGGAATCTGATGTGAACATTAATGTGTTGAAATGGTTAGATCCGAGCAGGCTGCGAACTTTGATTTTCCTACCGTATCACTTCGAAAAGGAGGAATATTTGTCTGTTATTGCAAAGTTCAAATACTTGCGTGTCTTGAGGACGCATTGTCTCTCTGATTCCACTGAAAATTTGAAGCATTTAAGATACCTTGTTTTAACAGAAAATACAAGTCTTCCCAAATCTATGAGCAATCTTGTTTTCCTTCAAACATTAAAATTGAAAGATTGCGATGAAGAATCATTTTCAGAAGTAGTCACAAAGTTAGTCAATTTGAGGTGCCTTGATATTGCTTATTATGACACCGTGTGTGGGATGGCAGGGTTCGGAAAATTATCCTCATTGCAACTCTTATCGACCTTTGGTGTGGGAGACAACAGCCAAGAAATAAAACATGGCACACTAAATGAACTGAAGGACTTAAACCTCAGAGGCCGATTAGAAATTCAGCATCTCAATTGTGTCAGAGAAGTGGCTCTGGAATCTCAGGACATAAATTTGAAAAAAAAAAAATTCCTTCAATCCTTAACTCTGGACTGGTGGTATGGAGACCTCTGTAACAGTGACAGCTTGCAATTATTGGAAAACCTTCAACCCCACCGTAATCTTAAGCAATTGGAGGTGAATCATTATCCAGGCGTGCTTTTCCCAAATTGGATTTCTCTCCTCACGAATGTTGTTGACATCACTCTCTCTGCTTTTGATAATTGTCGCTGTCTCCCTCCGTTGGAACGTCTCCCGTCCCTGAAGTCACTTAACATACAGTTTCTTCGTGAATTGGAATACATAGATCTCTACGAGGATGGTTTTGCAGTAACCTTCTTCCCCTCTTTGGAGAGCCTCACATTATTTCATTGTCCCAAGCTCAGGGGATGGCGGAGGCGGGGAGACGATATCAATGATTCACATAATCTCTCCTTACCTCTTTCATTTCCTCATCTTTCTCGACTGGAAGTCTCTAAATGTCCACAGTTGACTTGGATGCCTACTTTTCCAAACGTTAAGGATTTAATATGGTGTCACAGCAGTGCAGAGCCATTAATAGGAACACTAAACACAACAGCGTCAACATGTTCAGCTGACTCATCTTCCTCCGCTGCTCCTCTTTCCATGCTCAAACAATTGAGCTTATCTGATCCTATGAATTTAACAAAGGGTTGGATGCAAAATCTGACTTCTCTCGAGTCTCTTCAAATTCAATGGTGTGACAGTGAAACACTTGGGGAATTTGAAACTTGGTTTAAGGACGACACCAACTGCCTTCCTTCTCTGCGACAATTTTCATTATATTATTGTCAATGGCTAGAGGCTTTGCCAGATTGGATTTGCAACCTCTCATCGCTTCAGGAGATCACAATCTCATTGTGCCCAAAATTGGCATCGCTGCCCGAAGGAATGAGTAGTCTTACCAACTTAAAGATCTTTGAGGTCTGGGAGTGTTCCCTCTTACTTGAAGAATGTCTAACAGAGACAAGTGCTGTTAGTCGCCAAATCGCACACATCCCACATATTATCCTTAGCGATTAGTGATGATAAAGGTACTGATCTAATGCATATTTATTTAGTGTAAACGTCGTGTATTATATTTGCTTTGCTAATAAAATACTTTTAACTAGTTTTTGAGTTAGTGTTCATTTATTTCAAACATAAATACAAATTATGCTAATCATATTAATTTTTAATTGTTAAACATTATCGGACTCTTAACGGTCATATATTTAAGTTTTTTGTTTTTTTTTTACTTTGCACTGATATTATTACAAAAATAAATTTTATAAATAAATATTTTATTATTATTAATAAATATTCTATTATCTTAATAAGATTAAATTAAAGAAAATTATTTACAAATTAAAAATTAACTATAAAACTTGAATTAAAAGTTCAATTTTGAATTAGTCTTCTAATTTTCGTATGATACTTATCACAAGACATTGTTCTCTAATTACATTTATTGAAATCCAATTAAAATATTGAATGTTTTAAGTTATTTATTGCTTATCTATATATATATTTTTTATTAAAGATAATTATTTTGACTTAAAAGCAAATAATTTTTACTTAATTCTCTTTCATTTTAATTTTTAATAAAATAATTAACTAACATATCATCTCTTGTTGATATTTGAAAAATACATAAACATATTTAAAGATATAATATTTAAAGATGAATCAAGAAAGAAAAGTAAATTAATAATTATTTAAAATAATTTTATATTATTTTTAATTATTAAACCACCTTTATATTAATCTCAAAGAGAAGAAAACTTATGTCGACAGCGATGTTATGCAAAGACAAAATGTTATTAAATTTTCTTTCAATTTTTATATCATATGAAATATCATGTGACATGCTTAAAATGATGAATTGATTTATGATTTTTTTAAGATCATATAATTCCGTGAAGTGAAAAGATTTTTAATGCAAACAAGAGTGTCGTAAATAATGAGAAACTCATAATTTTCTATTTTCCATTTTGTTTTTATGCAAAAATGTCATAACAATAGAACAAGTGGAAATAACTATTTTCTTATTTTTTTTAAGATGCTTAGAAAAATAACGAGTTTTGTTTTTATTTTTAAGATACGGCATGTTAATGATGAGAAATAACTTTTATATTATTTTCGAGTGATATTTATATTGATGGCTTATTATTTTGATGTGTAATAATGATCAACCCTTATTTGGATACATATTTTATTTGAAGACAAAATAAATTGCAACAATATAATAAAATATGTAAGAAGAACGGTTGGATTTATTAGAAATATTCACAGTTTGATTTTAATTAGTCTGAGAATAATATTAAGATTGAATCATTTCTAATCAATATGTTGTGACTTTAATTTGTTGGTTAGTAATATATAAATTTTCATTATTTAGAGAAGAATATCATTTAAAATTAATATATAAATTCTTTTAGTGGTTAGTTTTTATTAATTTTCGAAACAATGCTTATTAAGTAAAAAGTCAAATTATATATATATATATATATATATAAATATAATTTGAAAATAAAAAATACTCAAAGCATTGAATCCCATTATAAATTTAACTTAGTCTAAATTTCAAAACACAAATTTAAATAATTTCAAGTTTTTCTTAAAAATACAAATATTTAATGAAATATATTTTGATTAGTATACATAAGGACAAAATAAAAAATTAATATATTTGTAGTTCATTATGATTTGGTTTGGATTAGTTTTAAACATGTAAACAAAAACTCAAACCAAAGAAAAAAAATTGTCATTTTTTAATTCATAATTTATTCAATCTTCAAATTTATGAATGGATTCACCTGTTGAAAATGGTTTTGATTGATTTTTGAACACATCTATTTTAACACAGGTATGATGCTAACGTGAGGAGCCAAATGATGAAATTTTTAATATATTTTTTATTTGCCGACAGATTATGATAATGTAGTTTCTAATCATAGACAACTGACAGATTGTGATAATATGACAAACGTGGCGACACATGGTAAAGGATCAAATGGTATGTACCTGCTCACAATGATATATTTGCACATCAACGTGCATCTTTTCCAATTGATGTTGCAAGTTTTATGCATTTTAGCTTTTATTCATCAAATTCATTAAAACGCAGTTCCATTGAATATTCTCAGCTCTTTCCATGTGTCGTAATCATCGTGCCACATTACTTTGCCTCAAAGCATAGGAATGTCATTGAGAAAACACCAATTGCACCATAATGCAGAAGCCACAAATTTTGCAAATTTATGTAGCCACCTGTTCAACATTCAAAATTGTACTTGCCCACGATAAAGAATTTCACATATAAGGTTTAATTGATGCAAATCTCTGTCTCAGGCCACAAGCTATCTTCACTCATCAACTCTGGCCAAACCTTCAATTATCTTCTGCCTGACACTGATATATGGTATAAAACCTCTTTTTGTCGTCTTCATTGCAACCTTTTCGGCGAAAACATACTCACTTTTCTCCAAACACCCTTCAATCACCAACTCGTAGCTCTCAAATCCAAAAGAGTTACCCTCTTGCTACAGGAACTCAATCATCTCAACAGCCTTCCATATCTCCCTGTTTGCCCGTAATGCTGCCAACAATTTCAGCAGCATTCCTTCTCTTGGGGTCAAGCCATATTGAACCACCAACCATTTGCTTCATCAAATCCTGTGCCTCAGCAGTCTTTTTCAGTTTGCAAAATGCACTGATTACAATGCCATAATTATTTAAATCGGTAATGCATCCTAACCCACACATGTTTAACACCTTCTTTTTCATTATTTAGAAAATAATGTTTTATTTGATGTTAAATAGTATTGGGATATGTTTAGGGATGAATTATGAAGAGTTTTTAAAAGAAGTTGGTGTAGGGAATCTCGCTCAAACGAGGCTGAGCGCTCAGAAACACCTTTATTTCAGGGTAATCTCGCTTAGGCGAAATAGGATAAATTCAGCTCAACTGTCACCTCACCCATGCGAGAGTGATCTCGCTTAGGCAAGCTGAAATCTCACTCAGGTAAGATAAGTCGTTCAAGCATTAGGGGATGTCTATATTACAAGTACAGAGGAAGTTACTAAATAAGGAAATGAAACTAGAAGGGAGTCTATATTACAGGAGTATCAAAAATTTGCTCAGCAGTCAGGGGATGTCAATTGCACATGCTAGTAACCAATATATTAACTATAGTAAGTGTAGATTAGTTAGTTAGTTACTGAAATTTGGAAAAGGGGGGAACACACAATTGGGGGCATTAATTGTATTAGTAAGGATTTGGGAGAAGCCTGGATCTCTTAAACATCCAGGATTTCAATATTCTTTCTATAATTCTGACCTATCCTTGGACTAAAACTACAATGGAGACAAATTGAGGAATACACAATTCAATTTGAAAATATATCCATAATTGCACTTGATTCAAACTGGCAAAAGGGCTGTCAATAAACCCTTTCAACTTGAATGACATTAAAGATAATGTCCATTATTCAATACCCATGAATGGTCATAGAATGGATTAATTTTATGCAAAATTTGCAACATTTAAAGATAATTATGAAAAAAGTATTTTCTATTGTTAAAAAGCTTGAGCCTAACTCAACCCTTAAAGCTAGCTTTGAGGATTGCTTTAGTCTTTATAATTGTAAGCTCTTATTTGGCCATATCTTGTATAGTTCATGCGGATAGCCATATCTATAGTTGATCTGAGACTTCAACACACTTTCTTACACTCAAAATTGGACATCTAGGACATGGAAATTGTAGGACTTTATTTTTTTAATATAGAAATAGATAAGCCTACAATAAATGTTTATACCAAATTTTATGTTGGACCAGTTTCTATTTTTCAATCAAGGGTTTCTCATCATTGGATCTATAATAAGTGTTGATACCATGCATGTTAAGAAACTTGGACCTAATTCACTCCTAAAAGTTAGCTCTTATGAGGAGAACTACCCAAGCCCTCATAAGCAGTATTTTTCTTCTATTCCTAACTAATGTGAGTCATCTTAACATTTATTTTTTTTTAAAAAATAATAATTAAAATATTTTAAAAAGTTAAAATTACTATGACATTGGATCCAAGTAAGCACTAAGCTGCTTAACTGCAGTCATAGAATTTTGATATGCTTATGTAAAAGTGCACTATAAACTACAACAAGAATTGAATCAAACCTCCAAACTTTTCCTTACTAGAAGAACCATTTAACTTTCAAACATGACAGACATCAGGGAGAAACACCGATTCTAGTGCATGTTTGGATAAGCAGTGGAAGCTTCTAAACTCGTGTTTAAAGATGTAAACGTGGTTTGAAATTTGTGCCAACATGTTTGGCAGTTGTATGACATAATTAATTTTATCTCTAAACTTACATTTGAGTCAACATGATAAATTATAGCTTTGGTGTTGATTTGAGTCAACATGATAAATCACATTACTTTAGACTCACCTTTAAATAAAATCATTTCTACAAAATGAAGTTCATTCAAACTCAAGTTTGCAAATGCTCATCCAAACATACACTAAGATATAAGAATAACCAAAAAGCATTCAAGACCCAACAGTGCATTACACAGAAAATTGGCTCCAATTTGACTATAATCATATAGTATTTCAATACAGTGAATTAGAATGCAAATTTTAAGAGGTTAAAACCATGAAAATTAGCTTTCAACAGAATCAAAGGACTTTGATTTTGAGTTGTATAGCTCAAGTTTTCATCGAAGGAATAACACTTTTATAAGGGGAATTATGAAGAAAATAGGTTCAAACTTGGAACATAGTTGATACTAATTGACAAGGAAACTAAACCTAAAATTTATATATTCTAAACCAAAGAGTGTTCATTTTGACATGTACAACAAGAAATAATGATTGCAACCATGAAAAAACAGCCTAAGAATTTAGTTAAAAATCAAGGAATATTTTCAGCATTTTCATAGCTGGTAGTATGAGGTTTATAGTGTAACACCCTCTTTTTCATTATTCAGTAAATTATGTTTGGTTAATGTTAAGTAGTATCAAAATGCATTTAGAAGAGAGTATAGAGGGTTTTTGGAAGGATTTTAGTGCAGGGAGTTTCGCTTAGGCAGGACAAATCTCACTCAAGCGAGACTGAGCGCCTAGAAATATTATGTTTCAGGGCAATCTTACTCAAGCGAGATAGAATCGATTCAGCCCAACTGTGACC